TTTCTTTAAAACAGCGCCATTTTGTCTAAAATTATTTTATCAAAAAATCCGTACGTGCAACTGAAACTACACTCATATACTTTAAAATAAAGAAAAAAAAATTTATTTCGGAGCTCCCGTTCAGACACAGCACGAGCGCCCGTGGACCCATCTTTTTTCAGACGAGGAGCACATCAATCAGCACTGAGGCTATAAATATTAATATTATTCGATGAATTTTTTTTAGGGGAGGTCGGGGTATTATTGGACACGGGGTATTGTTGGACAGCGCGATATTTTTCCCGTTTGTAATGCTTGGGGTCTCCACTAACTAGCATCGACTCGTCTCATCATAATCTCATTTTCTATTGAGCACTTGACTTGTTTTGACGCATTGTTACCTCACTATCATAGCAAACAGAATTTTGATGTTTGTAAAGTGTTTTTTTCACTTAGTGTTTTGTTCATTTTGACAACCTTTTTCGACGAACCAAGTCAGGTAAATATATTTATAATATTCTTTGAACTTTAAGCTTTCGACGCATATAAGAGTTTTGTATGAAATTTGCATTGTGTTACTTATACGCCGACATGTTGTAAAAATGAGCGTTCGGGGTATTATTGGACACTTCACAGTTTTTCTTGACAGTTCACAACATAACTTCGTGTGTTTGATGCGTATAAGTGATTTTTCATGCATAATTTCAACAAAGCATTAGTTTTTCGGCAATTTCTAATCGTTTTTTGGTCCGTTTAAATTTTGTTTGACAGAATGCCGCGTTATTATGCCAAAAAGGAGAAATCTATTTTCATCGATATTTTTCACTTTATTTTATTCATTATAATATATTCTTTCCTTTTCATTAACAAATAAACGTTTTCCAGCAATAATTTTCATTTTTTATCGATTTACAAAACTGTCCAATAATACCCCGAGATTTTTGAAAATCTCAAAAACCAGTTTTTTGCGCCAACTGATACAGAGTGTACAATTTTAAACAATTAGGTCAAATTGCTGGTACCAAAAGAAAGGTTATTTATCGTACCACAAAATCAAGCTTAGAAATTTTGAGAAAAAGCAATTTTTTTTAGAGTTTCCGGACAAAATAAAAGTGTGTCCAAAAATACCCCGACCTCCCCTAATAATTTCGTAAATGTATGACTTTGAATATATAAAGACAATAATATAACCTATTAGTTTAAAAAAAAAAAATTCACGATAATAGCCTTTTTTTCGTCACCCTGGTGTTCCCCCTTAATCCCACGACTGTAAAGTCATCTCAAGGTCATAGTATAGCAGGTCATTGAACTCGTCTTGACATCAGTTATAATATTATGAAGTAAAAAATATGTAGTGCTATTAAAAAAATTAGGGTGACCTTGACTTTTTTCCTAAAAAAGAGTATTTTGCAAATTTTTAATTTTGCAATTTCTAGCCGATTGAAAACTGATTAACTTTTATCAAACTAATTTTTATCAGATCATCGGAAGTGCCGGAAAAATTGTGATCACAGTTATGTCGGACACTCTGTATATCCAAGTTTTTCAATTAAATTAAAACTTATTAGAGTAAAAAAAATTATGTTCTCATTATGGCAATTAGCCATAACAGTCATGTCAGACAGAAATTTTTTGAGTTTTCGACACCTTTATTTTGAATACACACACTGACGTACACGAACAATTACACGAGATATAAGTATACACGTTATACATGATTCGTAGATTGATTAGTACAGAGTAGTATAATAAAACGTCAATATTCTTTCTATTCTTAGATAAATTTTAAGTTAAAATCGTAGATGGACAGTCTTTTGCTTCTGCATATAATTAGTATTCTTTTATTTGCCCGAATAATTATTCTAGCGCCGAGTCCTAAACGCCTCGTGAATTATACTTATTGTTCTTTATTCTATGTTATACATATATGTTTAAACTGTTTACTTATTCTACTTGTTCTCTCTTTAACTATCACCGTCCTAAAATTGTTACGTTATTTTGAAACGGTATATCTAATAAAAACCGTATAATAATGTAATTTGCAATAAAGTCTGATAAAAATCACGATTAAGATAAAAAATAGCTCTTTTTCTCTCAAGATCCTAAATCCATGAGATCGCATATTCCAAACGATTCGATTCCATGCGAATAGCGAATACGCTTATTCGTTCAATTGCAGAATATTGGCTCTTCCGGTGGAAGAAGGGCAAAAGGTTCTTTCTGTGCGGCGTAATCAGTTGTGTGGTCCAGAGTGATTCACAATTTGCATACTTTACGGCACCGTACCAGCATGTACCATCCTCGAAGCACACTAACTGCATCCTATAGAGGCAATTCCACTCGTTTTTCTGGGGCTGCATCCCCATTTTCCTTTTCCACCTTAACGCTATAGCATGGAAGTCTCCCGTTCAATTTTCAGGCCCGATATTCTTTCTCGCACGTTCGTCCGTTATCGCATGTTATCACACCGTGCTATGCATAAATTCTATATTTCTTTGACTATACGGTGACCGCTAGCACGATACGGCATTTTCACTGAATATTTACAAATTCACGGAGAGTATCACCTCGACACAATGAAATTTTTATTGACAATAAAAAAGACGATATCGACAAGTTGTGTTTAGAAAAACGCTACATACCTTGATCCAAAGGAGAATGGATTTTCTTTATGGTTATTTAAATGTTCTTGGTTGAATTTTTAACGTTCGAAAACCTCTACGCAATATTAATTTAAGATGCATAATTACAAGAGGTGTTTTTAGGATTTTAGGACATCGCGCGTACTACAACACGAACGACTTCATTGTAGCAAATGAGAACAATTCGCTATTAACTACACTGCAGCACTGTCGCGAACACATAGTCCGGCAAATTAGAGTAATTGCGTAAATACAATTTTACAGTCTATGGAACAATTTGCTTTTAATTCGGGCTACTAATTCACCAAGCGCTTAAAGCCTGAAGAGAGGATCTCCTCACGGCTAGTTTGTGGATGTTACGAGAACATGTGAAGTCGCATATATTGTCACGAATGTCACAAACGTCACGACGCCCTTCGCCCAACTCTCTCTACCTCGCCGACACCCCTTATATATCGATCGTCAGCTATTTTCAGATTCAGGAACAATATTCGAACGTTAATTGCTCCGTTTCACTCGCTACTCATTCTACCACAGATCAGCGCGTGCAATCGGAGGATAGTCAGAGCACATACCGCAGTAATCGTAGTGCACGCATAGTTTAAAAACTCTCTGACGAATTACCCACGTTATTGAGAGGTTTGTGTGAACAATGCGACAACGGGAGAATAGAGAACATATTTAGTATCCGACCAATTAATTCCGATTAGTATCGAGCTACACAGAATATGAAATATCAGAATGTAGAGCGCAACAGTTATCGGATACGAGAGAGGAAACAATAAATGTTTGGGAAACACATTGAATGTAAATAATCTAAAAATTAATGCAGTATGTATGCTGTAAAAATATACAAAAATAAGACCTGCATATTTTAGTACATTTAGTACGTGTGACAATGCGAATAACAAATATGTTTCCGATGCGATGTTTCTTTAATCTGTTGTTCATTTGAAGGAAAACCGCATAAATTCTCTGATTTCCATTTTACACTAACGTAACAACCCAAAGTAATTGTTATCAACGATGGTGCGGCTTAGTTGCAATTTATATAGCGCGACGTTATTCAAACGTACGCGTGTATAAGCAAAAAGGTCTCAGTATTCGCATAATTTCACACTTAATCTCGCAGTTGCCTACCACGATTGCGACAATGAAGCTATTTATGACGCCGATTATTATTTTCTACTTCAGGGAAGTATATCGTTCTTACATATCAAGTTTCACGTAATTTTTCCGCGAGACATTTCAACAACAATTCGTTCTTACGCGCATGTTAACGACATATAATGCACCCCGAATGGGGTCACGGCATTAGATCGAACCAAGTAAATCATGCAATAAAGCGCATTTTGTGAGCAAACAATGCGAGTGAACGTGTTTATTTGAGACTATCGCCAAGTATCGTGTTGTAAGCGAAAACAATCTCAATTCTAACGTCGTACATATTGTTTATTTATATACGTCATCGCAAATCATTCGGTACTCTACAAAGATAAAGAGCACAAAAATGTATCGCGTGACCGGGAAAAATACTCTTTTAGAATAATATCAATTACTGTTATCGTATATCAACTATTATCTGGTCCGAAGAAGAGAATACAGCTGTTTCTATTTTTCCTGTCCGGAAATAATATTCCACGTTACAATATACAAAGAGCTTACCGTAGATAACGTGAATAATAGAAAGAATAACAAGGTTCTGCAGCGCAATTAAATAAATGATACCCCACCGTTAGACAAAGGAAAATTAAACTGATTGCGCAATGTACGTGCAAGTAGAATAGTGATATCAAATTAAAATAGTACGATAAAGATGACCGTCACAAATAAGTGTTGTTTTACGAGAGAGTTGTCCAACAAAATAATTTTTCTGCTAGACGATTTTTCGTCGGCAATTTTATTCAATGGGAGTCGATTAAACGACAAATTGGAAAGGATAATATTAATCGCGTGGAATAATTATCTGAGGGTACACGAAACGCAATCCTATCCGACATCTTAATCGAGACGATCGACGCGATGTACTACGGTCCGATTTTATAATTAAATTCCTTTGGGAAATTCAATGGCTCTCGTAATCAGCACGTTCTCTTCAGGCAGCGCCCTCCTGATGCGAACGTGCTTCTCGATCCATATCTCCTTTTTTTTATCGATATTCCGAACGAGACGGATGAAATTTCACGGATTTCATCCGCCGTACATTCACATTTTTCGAGTTTTTTCGCCCACGTATATAGACCGAGCGTTTCCGTTCGGCGTAGAGCGGACAAATCGCGCGATAATTCATGCCCTTGCATTCTCGTTCCCGCTCTGTCGCGCAATTAGCATTTGATTCGAACTTAATGTATGATCTCGATCTTGTAATGTATTTTTCAGATCAAGATGGCACCACAATGGAGGAATTCGTCAATATAAGGGCACGTCGTACGAAGAGTCTAAATGAATGCGGAATTTTGCGAGGGGGATACGTGTTAATATACCAGGTACTCCGTCGTGCTTGAAATAGACGCCACAACGTAAATTCTTACCCTCCATGAGAATGTCCGACTTATGAGTGACATTTTGCCGACGTTGGAAAAAGGACTTATCTTTCTTGTCTCATCGACAACAATTCTTGTAGAAACTTTCTGTCAGACTCAAAGAATAGACTTTCCTCCAAGTTTTACAGATTATATATCTCGGAACCAGTTACGTTGTTCTTGAGGAATTTTCATGTCGATCCTGCGAGCGCGGAACGAACTTTCTTCCGGCACGTTCTGGGAACTTTCTGGAAAGGCGCAGCGTGATCTACCTTCTGCCTCTCACCACTTTTCTTTATCGTTCAAAGTGCTCTCGGCTATAAACGGACAATTTTATTCAACCCACACGATAATCGCGTTGAGATGCAAAACGTTCAATTGAAAATTAAAAAGATCACCTAAAGCATTCACGGAATAACAAAGTGAAATTCTCAATTCGTTCTAATAGCACCGGAGAAGGATTGCGGGTCGGGATGTTGTAGGAGTGAAGAAAAACGCGCGAATCAAATGTATTTTAAAATTCTAGGCGTGTCGGACAGAAACGATGACTGACGTAATGTAACGGTGTACCAAGTGCAAGCGAAAACTTCGTGAACTCTCTTAAACGAAGATTCAGTTCCAGGTAACGTCAATGCTTAATTGAGTACGCGAAGCTAACGAAAGGTGTGCCCTTAACATCGCACGTGTGATCCGACGAGAAGTTGACGATAACACGAATTTCCTGCTGCAGGAAGATTTTATTAGCAACGTGATGCGAAAGCTTTCGCCCACGTAATCGACCATAAAGCATACAAAATCGTAAAAGATCGGCTTAGAACGTAACTTTTCCATTTGTGTAAGACGTGATAAAAAAGCTTAGCTGAACTAATTGTACGATGCGTGATACAATGAAAAGAACGCTGAGTAATGAGCAAACAAAGTGAGAATGACGGAAGTAATCGCAAAATCTTGGTCCTTTTAAAAGTTCTCATCATATGACAGACCAGGCGGAACTCTTCCCTTTCAGAACAAAACACGAAACAACGAATATACTCGCGAATTCCAGAGATAGTTTTCGTCCGATGCTCGGACGAGAAATTAATATGCAAAAACTATTTCATCGTAAACCGACGAGTAAATTTAACGATGAACCATCAACGACGCTTTAGTGATCATTAAACGACACACAACATGTTGGAGCAATGCCAAAAAGATTAAACACAAAACCTCCTCTTATAGACCAGAGAACCATCAGTCTTTTCCTTTAACTTTTAAGATTAGAGTAATCATTATCGATTTTTAATCTCGTCTCTGATTGTGCAAAAGGAGGTAAGCTGGTACGAAAATTCGCTGCAGTAACGACTACATTTTCAAAAAAAGAACAGTTATATTGAGGATTCGAATATCGACGGAAAAATTAAACACAAAACTCCTCTTGTAGATCAGAAAATCATCAGTTTCATCATTCGTCTTTTCCTTTAACTGAGAGATTAGAATGATCATCATCGATTCCTGATCTTGTCTCTGATTGTGCAAAAAAAAAGCAAATCGATACGAAAATTCGCTGTAGTAACGACCATTTCCAGAAGAGAACAGTTATATCGAGGCTTCGAATATCAATGAAAAAAAGCGCACTCATCTACGGCGAATAAGCTGCGAGAAACAATGGAATCTCATTCGGCGGCAGCCGATCGGCGGG